TCATATGTGTGTTGTCACACACGAGCCTAATGTACACAGCTCCGACATATTAACAGACACCCCCACCCAACCTGCCCCCAATTAAGCTGCCAACTCACCTCACCCTGGAGAACAGACTGCCTGCTCCATCACTCAGGCCTATTATTCTCATTTCTCCCTGTGGCATCTACTCCTTCTAGATGCTTTTTAGCTCATGGTTTAAGCAGAGGCAAGACACACTTTGCATTTTAAGTTTAATATTATATATCTTTGACTTTTACAAGGCTAGACACCCTGGGGACCGATATTTAATAGATGTTAATGGAATTTAATTTTTACACACGCTAGGTGCGAACATCTATCTTTTAAATAAAAGGGTATAAAGCCTTATGAGGCACCAAGAAAATTTCTTCACAAATTGTTTTTCACTCTATATTCTTAAATTGAGAGCAAAGTAGAAAAGCTGTTTCCTGATATTTAGAATTTAAAACCTGCATATAATTATCATTAATTAATGACACAGAGAGGATCAACAGGCATTTTGCCACAGTGATTACCATTGCAAAACAGTTCTAAAATGCTGTCTAAAAAGAAACTTTCTCCATAACCTTTTTTCCTATTGATTTTCATTAGGCAAGAAGTCCCCGCTGCACACAAAAAAGGTCTGGCCCCAAACATATTATATAATAATCAGCATGATAAATATATTGAAAATGTTTATATAAAGAAAAACCTCCAACAAAGCAATAACCCTTAAACAATTATAGGTACTTGACAATGTATGCTGAGTAAATTCATTTGTTATTCTAGGACTGTGACTAGGAGCATAGTAGCCAGTTGATTTTTTTAAGTGCATTTTTGTCTGGGTGTCAAACATGGTTTAATTTCTAATTTTGGCTAATATTATGATTCATGGAATTTGGATAATATTAAAGATTAAAAAACACCACTTTATACCTTTGTAATCTTCACAATTCATGAACTAACACATAAAAAACTATCCGTTTATTCTTTACATATTTAGAATGCTAAAATCTCTCCAGTTCCAATTAATGAAAAAAATGCTTCTCTCTTTGCTTCAGTGCCTGGCACTAGCGTGCCTACTTAATAAACATTTGATGAACAAATGAATGATTTTTGACAGTATCCAGGTGCTTGCAGCAAAAATGAGGTAATGCAGACATTGCAAATAGCAATGTGAGGAAGCAGATCTGGGAAGCAGACATTGCAAATAGCAATGTGAGGAAGATTTCTTATCCCTAGTAATTTCTCACACTAGCTGTGTGACCTTAGAGAAGAAACTTGACCTTTCTGAGCCTCAACTCCCTCCATGTAAATTCAGATGCTAATGATGATCTCAGATGACCTTCTAACTCCAGAAGGCTACAGATCTAAATCTTAACATTAGCTAGTCATTGTTGCCAGTTTCACTTGGGACTTTAGCCATGAGTCCCTACAGGAGATAGACACGAGCTGTAGAACTTCTGCATTTGAGATCACACATAGCAGCCTCTGGAACAAAATCTATTAAGAGGTTCAATATGCAAGCAGTGAAAGGATACAAGCCTTGGGGGTTCACACAAAGACTTGGGCAAGTGTAGAAGTGAACAAGAGGACTAGAAGGGAAACCTGGGAAAAAGAGTATCTCCATAGCTCAGACAAGTAAAGTCTCCAGACAGCAGGTTTCCTCTTGAGGTCAAAAGTAAGTAGGTTTTATTTAGGACTGATTAACAAATGATTAATTTATAAAAGGGTTCCCTTCCAAAGAGAGTATTGGATACTTGATTTCCTAATTGGATAGTGCTTTGCACATAAATAAAGAAGAGTCACCGCTGCCTGTCAGAGAGGCGCTTTGACAAGGCAGGCTTGCTCTTATCTCTGTCCTGATTTACTGTGTGACCTTGGGCAAGTCATTCCTCTTCCCTCAAATCCATTTCCCTAATTATGAAGTGGAAATAAAAATATGGCCTTCACTGAGGATTCATGAGACAAGAGGAATGTCTTTAAGTTCCCAGAGGGGAAAGGGCCCTATGTAAGAAGGCAAAAAACTTACTAAGCAGTAAGTACTGTTAACATTTTCACACAACTCAGGGAAGGAAAAAATAAATAATAAAATGTTCAAGTTTTAAGTTTTCCAGTCCCCAAAAATGGATTCACCACTTACAACCAGCCCACTTTTTTTTGTTTTGTTTCAATGTCTCAATTTCTTCTTCTGTAATATATTGGATGATATTACTACTTACCATGTATGTACAGATATACACACAGATGCCTGGCATATCATCATTTCCAAATACGTATTTATTGATAACTTCCGTTTCTTAGCAGCAGGATCTAACCGCTGGAATATTGTCCTTTCAAAAGTCAAAGATCCTTATGAGAGAGTGTTGGGATGTAAAGATAAACACGATGAAACCATTTGTACTTTAAAAGGAGGGTAGGAAACTAGTATAAAGTCATCAAGCCCACTTCCTTGTGCTGAACAAAATGAGTCTGGGGGATGAGGACAATGTCTTAAAGCAGCTTGGATGAACCTGAAGATAACTTTATTAAGAGTTTAGATATTTGTTTGGAGACACTGGGCTTGGAAATTTCTGTGGACAAAGCCAAAGAGTCGTGACTTTTATTAGACATTTTAACTGAGGCAGTCATATGAAGACATTGATGATTTAGAATTTAAAAGTTGACATCTATAAAATAGTTTGTGGGATTTAAAAGATTATTACTTACAAATATTATTTTTTATTTGATCCTTTCAACACTCTTATGAAAAACCAAAGAATGACATTTTCATTTTTGGACACCAAAGGTTGAGGAGGTCAAATACCTTGCCTAAGGTCAGGTGAGTAAGACGTGGCCAAGCTGGGAATAGGGTCCAGGCTTTCTGACTCTCATGGCATCATTGTGCCTACCATATCAGGAGGCTTCTCTAGCCAAGTATGCAAATTCCAACTCTCTTTTATCAGCATAAAATGCTGTGAAAATGTCTTATGAGCTAAATGGGAAAGAAACTTTCAGTTCTATTTAGTGAGGATGCCTATTCCAGAATGCTTAAGAGAAAACAGAAATACATTAGAAACATCATAGCTTTTAAATACTTTGAGTAAATTTTTCATTGACCCCAAGTGATTATTTTTGTCATGTGAGATAGGACTGTATAGATAGGAGTCTATTTGGGGAAAAACAATAATAATAATAATTGGGCCACGTGGACGCGAGGGGGCACTGTGAGCCTGCTTTGGTCAGGGAGAGGCGGCGACCCGCGCTGGGCTGGGAGGGCTGAGTGCCTGCAGCATCCTAGCGCCGGGGCGCATCGCCACCTCCCAGGGTCCGCGACCCTAACTGGGCTCGGGAAAGGGTGGCCTGCGTGACTCAGGGCTGGGACTGCACGCAGGTCCACAGCTTTCTGTTCTCCACCACTAGCCCCACCCCCGAGCATGAGCCCTTTCTGTCAGCTGTTTTTAATTTGAGATTCGTGAGTCCCGGGGCTTGGGAAACCATTCCCTCCCGCCTCTGTAGGCAACATTTTGGGTGCGCCTATGTCGGGTAATTTCCTGGGCAAAAGGACTGAAGCTGTCGTCTTATTCTTCAGGGGTTCGAGTCCCAAGAGGGTGCTAAACGCTTTTGATTTAGGGAAAGAGGGCCCATCCACCCACCCACAGGCCAAACGCACAGCCCCGCGGGAAATGACTCTGAAATCACGACTTGTCCACCTCCCAAGGTCGAGGCCAGAGGTTGGCACGCCCCACAAGGACACCTTCGGGGAAAAGGCCAGGTCACCTCCTGAAATAGCCCAGTCGCAAAGTTGAATCACCCTTCCGTGAAAAGAGGAGAGGCAGAGTACCTGCCCTCCGCGGTCCCTTACTTTCCTTAATCCCAGAGGTAGTCGGGCACCGGGAAGTGTGGTGGAGCCTCTCGGTCTGTTCCACCTGCCGCTAGGGTCCCCACTCCCAAACTGTTGCTCAGGCATTGGCACGATGGGGAAACTCAGCTGAATTTACGACCCCCTAGTGAGAAATGCCGTGGGCGGAGTTGTCTGAACATCCACTCTAACGCGAGCTGGGGGTGCTGCACCCATGCCCACGCGGCCCTGGGGCTGGAGGAGAGAGGGTGGACTCTGATCCCGGGCTGCAGGACTGAATGCCTCGCATCTCTCCGGGGCCAGAGCCACCCAGGACTCCCTGGCAGAAGACAACGTGGGGTTCCGGAGAGAAAGCACAGTGCGGGCGAGGGTGAGTGGACGAGCAGGAAGCAGGGTGGGGGACTGGACCGACCGAGGAGAAACTCCAACCCAATCCAAACTTTTGCAGACTCCGGAGCCTAGGAAGGGCAAGCCCAGCAGAGCCGCCGCCTCTCTCGCCGTCCAGCGTGCCCAGGCACAGCGAGGAGGGGCGGCGCGCACGCCGCGCCCACCTGCCGGGCACTGATCGCGGCGCCCACGGAAGAAGCCAGAGCGCCGGGCCCCGGGCTGCGCGCGGGCTCCGAGGAAGGGGAATCCCACGCGGATTGCGAAGCGAGACGGGACCCCTGACCTCGCAGCCTCGCCCATCGGGGTGACGGCGGCGACCGGGACGTGCCCTTGGGCGGCCCTCGGGCGCGCAGGCTGGAGTCGGGTGGGTTCCGGGGGAAGTGAACGCAGAGACTTCCACGCCCCGGAGAAGTCGGATTCAAAAGAAATGTGGAAAGCAATCCAGGGCAGCCAGGGGTGGAAGCCACCGGCTCCCCGCTAGGAGGACCACAGGGACCGGCACGCGCGAAGGCGAGGCGCTCCCGGCGGCAGGCGTCGCC